GCGGGCCCGAGGCTTGTCCCCGCCTCCGTCCGTCCCCTTCCCGGCCGCGACCGCAGCGCAGCCCTGCGCCGGCAGCTAGAGCTGCTTTGCCCGCTCTCCACAGGCGTTTTCCGTGCTGTTCTGTGGGTCCCTGTGATGCCTTGGTAGCTTATTGTAGCCTGTCTGTGTTACTTCCTTCTGACTAGAGATTAAACCCACGTATTTCCAAGGTCCTTTCACAGGAGCACAGGCGAGTGCTCTGAAAGAGGTGCTGTGGGCAGTGCCTGACGTGGGTAACTGTGGTTTGCTGAGTGGCTCATTTTGGGCTGTCCTACTGCAGAGTTGGCCTTGGTGCTCTGCAGGGCTTCCAGGTGCACCGCAGAGGCCGTAGGTTGCTGTGCGCCAACGTGGCTGGGCACCCCAGGAGCGTGGTGAAAAGGAGTGATTAATCACCTGCCGTTCTGAGGCAAACAGTCAGGGTTTTGGTGGCCTTTATGGTGTTGCGTTTCACTTCCTGTATAAATCAGAAAGGAAATGATTTAATATAGAGGTGCCCAAGTACTTGTGTCAAAAGTAAGATCAGTAGGCAGTATTCATTGTCCCATCAGCCATACTGTTGCCCTCTTCTGAAATAGGGGAAGCACTGGGAGAATAAAACCTTCTCAGCTGAGTACCGGAGAAGCCAAGTGAGTCATAGTTACTGGTTTTTTCTAAGGTACTGCATTGACTACATGACGTCCTGTTCATGAAGGCTAAAATATTTGAGGAGAGTCTCAGACAACCCAAACATTCTCCAGTCATTAGCAAACTAGATTCTCATATCTAGGAGAATCGTGTCTGTGTCTTAAATATCCAGAGTCATAGCTGTTAGAAAAAGAAAAAGCCTGATGAGGAACTGTATCTGGGGTCCTAAAAGTAAGGGATTGATGTATGCTTTACATCTGGAAAAAACAGCATTCTTTTCTGTTACTGTAAATTCAGGCATCAGATGAAAATGTGTGTGAAATGACTTGGAAGATTTGATTATGCCCCGTTTAGAAGGAGCCAAGCAACAAGCTCTTGGGGGCGGAGGGGGAGACTGTAGTCTGTTTCTGTTATTAATTTAAAAATAATTTTTGAATGGATGTATATAAATAGCCATCCAATTTTTTATTTAATAATGCATGAAGAAAAAAAAATTAAGAGTTTCTGTCCGGGTTTAAGATAGCTGAACATAGACTCAGAATCACTCGTCAGCCAAAGGATCGGAGTCCTGGTATTCCAGACAAGTCACTGTGCAGACCAAAGTCTCTGAAGCAGAGCTAGTCTGGTTGTTCTCAGATAGTGGAGGGATAAACTGATGCAATTTAAAGCAGATTTCAGGTAAATTTAACACTTGGCAGCTGGCAGAAGTCTAGTCCGAAAAGTTATTCCAAATTACGTTATCTAGGAACACTGAATAGGCTTCACAGTGACAGCCATGTAGTGAGAAATGCATAACTTGACATTCATAAAAATGTGAAGGACAAGCTTTTCAGATTTATGTGAATTGCTCTTAGGGGATCAACTCTACATATCTTCATGCAAACAATTAAAATAACATTCTTAAAGGCTACTGGTTGACCTTTGAACAAGACTCATGGTGGATACAGTGCATTACAAAGCAGGAGGAGGTTAAGGAGTTCCCAGTCATCCCAGTGGCTTGTGGTTGATTCCCAAAATGGGAAGAAAAAAAAAATGGAGACTCAAACAATGAGTGGGGAATGTCCATCTCTTAACAGAACCTGGACATCCTGGAGATAAGTGAGCTGCTGGAACAGTGCTGCCTGGGACATGACACTGAGGTGCATGTGGATCCCATCACTAACCTGGAATCTGTACACAAGAGGCTTAGTTAACCATGTGAAAAGGGCTATTGAGGTAGCAGTTACTCAGCTGACAAGATGGATTACTATGTTTCAAGGAACCAAAGCTTTTTGAGGGCCAAAGGTGTTCTATCCTCAGCTGAAACCCAAGGTTAGAAATTTAATTGATGTCCCTTTTTTTTTTAGGGAATTGCGTCAAGCTCAGAACTTTTAAGGCAGGGAGTACTTCAAGTCATTGTTGACCCTGGGCAGCCTCCAGCAGTAATACTGAATGGGATCCTGAGTTAACAAGTCAATGAAAGTTAGGTTTGCACACTCCCATGAGGACCTCTGTACTTTTTCTGCCTTGCAGTATTGTTTCCTTCAGCCTGCTGGTTCTCAGACATGGGAAAACAAGGCACCTACAAGACCCAAGTTCAGCACAGTAGGAGACAGTCAAAGATTGTCAGCTGAATTAATTGTAGTCTGACCGGGTAGATCTAGATCCATATATAATGGATGCAGAATAGGACAGGTTACAAGATGAAACCCTATGGAACTGCACATATGTACCAACATGTGTTTAGAGTAGGTGAGCTATTGCCTCTGAGAAAAGAATTGGGTCTCTCTTGAGTCACCTCAATCACTGCAAAGTGATCTCACCCAGTCATGTCTAAATTGTCTTCTGCGTGCTGACGCTGTGGACGAGAGCAGAAACACTCCTTTAGATGTTTATATAAGCATTCCAGCACCTAGTTTGTGACTCCTACAGAATGCTTCAGGCTCAACTGAAATTACGCCCTTAATCTGAATGTTTAAACACCTTGGATAAACTAGTTTTTAGTACAAAGCATTTCTGAGAAGCCAGATGTCATCTGAGAAGCCTGAGTTTAATGAATTCCAAACTACTACTGGTGTAACATGATTTTTATCCAAGTGCAAGACTGCTGTATCCTCAGTTAACCAGCTGCAGAATTTCTTATAGTGGTTAAACTGGGGGCCGAGGACTGGGCAGGAGGCTGGGAAGGGGAAGGGACAGAGAGTATTTCACACCATGCTTCAAAATACTATGGCATTTTATTTTTTAGGTACCTATTCTGAAATTGCTGTAAGTGTTGTAGTAGCAGAGCTATGCTGGGCAAGCATTTTTAATAGGTTTCTGTTGATAACATTATTCAGATTTTAATATGAGCAAGCCAAATAGCAAAGTCTGTTAATGCGAGTCTTTTTCTGGCAAAAGTTTGAGAGAATTTCTCAGAGTGCCTGTGTGAAGTGAGGCAAGAAGCTGAAGCACTGCTGACTAGGTGCTGGCTTGGCAGCACTGTTTCATGCAAGCATCTACCCCAAAGCAGGCTTATTAGCAATGCTTGGATCTGCATTTTGGGGTACTTTAAATGTCTACCCTTAACTGTTTTGATATAAGAAGAGATTTGAAGTAGTAACCAAGCACAAGGAGTTGCATTGTATGGTAGAACCAGGATAACTGTGATGCATTTGGTAGCCCATCTTTTCTAAGGAGAAAAACTGTATACATTGAATGTTTACACTGATTCTAATTGGAAGAATTTTCTGCAACCAAGTATTATTACAATTGTAGATCATGTGGAATTATTACTGTGCGGTGGTCTTTACAAATGTGTGATAAGCTAAACGAGTAATTTAATGTCTGACTTATTGCTGAGAGGACACAGTGGTTTAAATACAAATTAAACTTCCCTTGTGACCAATCATTCTTCTCTCTTTTAACCAAACAAGTATTCAAGTTTACCTGTTTAAATGAAAGGCAGATTGAACTCAATGAAGAAAATATTGGTAATTTGGTAATTAGTAATACTCAAGCATCCCCCTCTGAAACCTCAGAAGATGATACAAAATCAAATTCCCAATTACAAACTTGTCATCACAGTGGAAACAATTCTAAGTTTAACTAATAAAAGTAAGAATTCTAGTAAATATGTAACAGTAATCAGTAGTCTCTGTGGTAAATAAAAAATGCAGTAGGAGGCACAACTGGAACAGTGTTGTTTTGCAGACTGAATGAGTCATGAATTATGGTGCTTGCAGATCTCTCTAGTGGTTTATAAAGCAACTCTTCAGCTTGTTTATTTACAGAAGCCATATTCTGATAAGCTCAACCCAAGTACATTGGGATAGAGAAAATGATTCTAATGACAAAAGG